AAAGGAAAGAAAGCAAGAGAAAAGAAAAAAATTAAGGTAAGTTGGAAGTGGTATGTACATGATTAGTGAAGTAAAACGGAATATGATAAGAAATGACGCTGGTGCCTTGTGCGGTTGTAAGCTTCTGCGGTCTGATGTTGTTTTTTTTTGTCTTTCATATTTTTATTAATCTTTTTTTTGGTATTTATTTTTTTTTATTGTATCGATTCATTCTTTTTTTTTATTCCGCACTATTACAAGCTTACTTATGTGGAGGTTTGATGGTAAACCTCTGGCGCCGAGGCTGTCGTAGCAAGAAGGTGACTCATTATGTCTAACTTTCATATTAGACCAATGCTCCCTTCCTCCGCTTCAACAGAGCCTAGCAGTCATGTTAAAGGCAATCATTATATCAGCGTATGATAAGGAGCAGGGTAAAAAAAACAACAGAAGAAAATGGGAAAGAAGGTTAAGATTTCAAAATCGGTGCAAAGGTACTACAAAAGCTGGTGCGAAATCAATGCGAGGAAAAGTGGTGCAACTTGGAAGTAGTACGTTAGAATGAGATAAAACAAAGGAAGTTTCTACCCTGTGAGAACTTATAAAATTACAGAGAAGTTAGTACATAACCCATAGCTATGAGTAGTTATGATTACCAAAATTACTTTGTTCATGTTGCTAAGTGCATAACTAAGATGATGCATAATGTTTATAAGTACGGTTCACAAAATAAATGAATTGCAGGAGGGCATAAACCCGAAGGAATATAGTACAGGCTGTGAAAATAAATTGAGCGGATTACTATGTACAGCATAGAAGTGAAGCATTTATGCGCAAAAAAAAATATGTATATCTGGACTAGCTACCAAGATATCGTCCAGATAGGCGAAGGCGAAATCAAGCCCGCGCAAAACGTCATGTATAAAACGCTGGAAGGTTTGTGCAGCGTTCCGTAAGCCAAAAGGCATTCGAAGAAACTCGAACAGGCCAAACGGTGTAATCACAGCAGTCTTAGGTATATCTTCGGGGTCGACGGGAATCTGGTAGTAAGCCCGTGTAAGGTCCAGTTTGCTGAATACTCGAGCTCCCTTGAGTGAGGCGGTTAAATCGTGTATGTGCGGGACAGGGTAGCGATCGGGAACAGTTTGTGCGTTTAGTCTGCGGTAGTCGCCACAAGGACGCCAATCTAAACCGTTATTCTTAGGTACCAGGTGCAACGGTGAGGACCACGGGCTGCTGGATGGCCTAATAATCCCCATTTCCAGCATATGCTCAAACTCCGCTTTGACAACCTTTAGTTTTTCTGGGGATAGTCGCCTCGGCTTTGCGAAAACTGGCGGGCCAGTAGTGACAATATGGTGTTTGACGTTGGAAGTCGCACATGGCAGGCCGCTGCTAGGTTTGAACAAATCTGAAAAAGACTGCAGTATATGCGAATAAGGACCAGTGCTAGTGGGTGTGGCATATACCGGGCTGAGGGCTGGGCCTTGTGTGACGATACCGCTGACGGAGAGGTTTGTGACAGGATCTTTTAACTTATGATTACCTGTATCTACCAGTAATTGGTAGTGCTGCAATAGATCCATGCCAATTATACCTGTGGTAACGTCTGCCACCAGGAAGACCCAACGAAGTGAACGACGCAAACCGATGTTAAGATCTATAAAGCGCCTGCCGAACGTAGCAATTGGCGAACCGTTTGCGGCTCGTAGTTGAAGAGACATTGGCCGCCTGCGCTCCTCTACTGTGGGTGGGATTACACTGACCTCTGCTCCGGTATCAATTAGGAAGCGTATCCCAGTGTTACGGTCGGTAACATAGAAGAGGCGACATGAGAGTGGTTCGCCAGCGACGTTAGTCGCCAGTACGTGCTGGCTTGCTAGTTTCCCGACTGTTGAACATCGAAGGTGCACGGGCGAGTGCACTTTTGGGCTTTTGCTCCGTAACGTCGATGATACCAGCACACTCCAGGCTGGTTACTTCGGGACTGTCGGCGCTTGCTGCTAGCACGTGGCAAGGGTCTGCTACTACGCGAACTCGAGGGACTGCGTCCACGACTCCTGGAGTTCATCTCCTGTCGTATACTACAGATCTCCTCGTATAGCTTGGCTATATGGGCCACCGCGTCAAAGCTTGATGACCCCCCATCAGACGAATCTTTAGTCTGAGCGGGAGCAGCAGTTACTGTTGCGGAAATGCCAATTTTGGGATTGATGGCCTCTACGGCTCTATCAGCTGCCTCGGCTATCTCCTGTAAGGGGTACTTGTAGATCGGTGCTAAGATACCCTGGACTGCCTGAGGTAATCTTTGAAGCCAAAGTTGTTTGAGAAAAACCTCGTCAATTTTAAAGTCCGCCACTAGCTGCTTCATCTGCCTCAACATTTGTGAGGGCTTGCGGTCACCTAACTGAACATCGCGGAAAAGTTCCTGCACTTTCTGTTGGTCAGTAAGTGCGACTCGTTGAATTAACGCCTGTTTGAGCCGCTCGTACCGATCCGGAGACGGATCTGCGAGAACGTCAGCCACCTCGTCTATGACACTTTCGGGTAGGCTCACAATCACGTGGTTTACTTTGGTCTCTTGTGAGTGTATGTGTCTAATGGCAAACTGAGCCTCTATATGATTAAACCATGCAGCTGGACGATGTGTCCAGAAGGCGGGGAGTTGCAGCGTTATAGCCATCTCTGACGCAGAACTGTTGTCAGCCATCTTGCACACAGGGCACAATATTAACAAGGTGATAAAAAAACCAATATAAGTACAAAGAAAACAAATCGAATCTTTATAACCGTGCGTGAAAGGAAAAAAAATAACAAAATAAACGGTACGTAAAAAGAATCGTTAACACGTTAAGCTACTATAGCGGAAAACGGTGAAAACGGGCTCACCACTTGTAAGAGTTCTACTACGGCTTAGAGTGGACCTATACTCTAAACACCCTTACAAACTTCTTCACCGTTTTGCGACCTGCTAAGCTTAGCAGTACACTACTCGACGCGCAAATACTGACGAACTGTATCGTTGTAAAAAGACTTGATGTGACAAGAGTACCTGGGAGAATTATATTTTATTCAACGAAATATAAAATTCAATAAATAAAGAAGTCGTACAACTTATCTGCAGACGTTGCTGGAGGTAGGCTCGGAGAGTGTGCAGAAAGAGAGCACAACAAGAGAGCGAACCAATGAACGTACGGAAGACTCACAAGTCAAAAGGTAAAACGTGGATCACCGTGGGTGAGTCAGTTTAAACAAAAGTTCAGAGGTACAATGTGCACTACAGGTCTACCTTGACTGTCTTGTAGTTATGCCTGTGTTTCATATGCTGGTATGACGTCCACAACAATGCCTGAGATTATGTGGTTAGTGCCCTTAGCCGCATTGTCCTCATGTCCTTTTGTGAAACATCTCCTCTTCGTTATTCTACCTGCTATGATTGACTACTGCCTAAGAGTCAAATAAATATCTTGGGCATGTACTGCATACCCTTGAAGTTCTTGCAGCTAACCTTCCTGTCCTCCTCAATTGAAACATTATTTATTTTCCCTGGTCTTTGGGACATGAAAGTTAACTAAATACCCTCAGCTATAGTCTAATATACGGTTGTTTAAGTGGGGGCAAAAAGTGTCAGTAAGATGAAGCAACGCAGATCAGCTGCCCATGCATCAGCCATTCTTAGACCTAATGAATTAATGATCAAAGTGATGCTCGAATTGGGTCGATTGTAATTCAGAATCGAGTTTATCGAACCCTAGAATCTCACCTGTTGTAGTTACTAATGTATTTATTCTCATAGGTTCAACTTTTCGCAGATGAGATATCCTTAAGTAAATCATGGAGAAAATCTGAAAATGAGATGACATGGATAAAAAATTTGAGTTATGTTCGACTGCGATGTGACGATAGGCCTATTGAGGGTGTTCAGTAAGCGATGCTTAATGAAAAATATTCAGAAAGAAACTGTACAATAGCTAGCATAAGGTTCGAAGTCAGTAGCTTCTGAACGTGTGTTTCATAATCCCACTGGTGTACGAGTGAAGGGAAAGTCACCATACAGTGCAGTTCGGCACAGAGCAAAAGCTATCAGAGCGTAAATAGTTATTGTCCCATTTTGGTTAGTCGTCTCATCCCTTTGCATTCGTTGACCACTAACTGCCTACCAAGGGATTTCAAAGTACACAGGTAATCCTGTCAGGTGTAGAAATTCCCCATATCTAGGTTCGGTAGAACCTTTTGTTTGGACCTTCACATGGAATTGCGCCACCCATACCTTATCTTGGTATATTTTCTTCAGGTTTTCTTCGTCAGAGTCCCCACATTGGAAACATGTTAGATGGCTCATACGAAACCATCAAATTTAGATTTTCCTACTGGCGAATGTAAAAAGCGGCATGCCACGAGATTCACTGTTTGGTTGTCCATCGTTTACCCCGCGTATCAAGAAATCGCAAAGTACTGCCAAGACTGCCACAGTTATCTGAGCTAATTTTCAGAGGATCCAAAGGGAGTTTACAGTGGACACCGGAGTCCTCGAATCGCACGCACATCACAGTGATCCTGTGGGCGAGTCCAAAGAATAAGTACCTTGTGTCAAGGCGAATAAGTACCGAGCCATATTAAATGTGTACACGAGCGACAAACAATACCACTCCTCCCTCTATTTCGGAAGTACTCTGTATTATATATCAATGTACGTCAGGATGATTCAGATTCAGATGATAAGGATAGAAGGCTCTTGTGTCCTGTGCTAATCCCTGCAATATATATCTCTGCGCAGATCTAACTTCTCTTTGAAAGCATCCATCGATGGAGCTGATACTACTGAATCAGGTAAGGAGTTCCAGTCGTTGACCACTCTGTGAGAGAATCTAAATTCTGCACGTATTTTAATCGTCGGATAGAAAACATATCACTCATTCAAATTTTAGATTTTTTTGTTCCGATTAATCCATTGCGAAATCTTACTTTGTTGTTACTGTAATAAGAAATTAGCATTTCAAGGCACTTGTCAGTGATATTGAATGCAGTATGAGCGCTGTTTACGACACATTGCGCTTCTAAAGCTGGCCAGTGGAAATAATCAAAGTTCGAACGTCTCCCCAGATTCCCTTGAAGGATGTGAAGAAAAGGAAAAGTCATCAAAGAAAAAAGGTATTTATTGAAAGTCATTCACTTTGTTTCGTCTGGATTCACTTTGTATTTTAATTTCTGTTATGGGTTCTGTTTCAAGTTATTTTATTTTTATTATTTCTCAATATACTATGTTCATCCAGACTCTAGATTCTATTGATATTGAAGATGCTTTTTCATTGTTCATGACAAACCGAGACCTATTAAGACAAAAAACCACTAGAAAGTGCTAGAATGCTAGTGCGTATATGCAACAAATCAATTCATATTGCTATATCTCATATATTTAAAAACGGCCAAGTTAAACTTTAAGCGTCAGTAACCTTGAAACACTCAGTGAGCAAGCTAGTGAAACCTAGTAATTATTGATATAACCTAGTAATTATATTGTAGTCATGAATAACATTTGCTTAATGAAGTGCTATGTTATTAAATGGGATATCTGGCGAGTTTCAGTTTAGGTTTGGGGGAGATTAAGCTAAAATTTTGGCTAAAGACAGGTAAGGGTTAAGCTAACCTAGTGATGGCGACATAAGGGTTGGGTTCGAATTATATTATGGTTAGTTTCGGGATTTTTCCGCGTTAGATTTAGCAAACATTAGGGTTATTGTTAGGGTTAGAAGACTAGATAATTAAATGAACAGAATGTGGTTTAGTTACTCTGATAATACTCCGATCCATAACTCAGAGGTAATTTTGTCACATCAGAGGAAGGTATCCTGTGTAACAGCTTCATACCTTTTGGCTCATTAATTTTATGAATGTATGTATTGCATGCTCAAAAACCGCCCTTATCATGTGGTTGGTGCGTCAAAGGTTATCTGTCTGTTGCTGCTTACTGGCGCTTAAAGTTTGACTGCCATGAAAACGTAGGAATAGACTCTAATCCTCGAATTTCCTCAACCGCGACTAGACAGGATACATTCGTTTTACACCTCTTTTATCGCACCGAATATGTATTTGTTCTCGACAGATACCGCTCGTGTTTTAGCAAAATAGTTTGCTTTTGATGAGAGCTGTTATCTGACGACGCTACTCGACATATTTACCATTCTTCGCTAGTTGTCACATCTCAGTACTTTCCACTTTTGAGAGTACGGTGATACTGCGAAGCCTTCCACAAGATTACTGCAAGTCTAGTCATGCGCTTTAAAAAAACGGTGCGTAACAATGTTTTTTAGTTGGTTTTCGACCATAATCTCTTACTTATCACTATAAGATTTTTAACCACTAGCATTCGTTATTTCCAATCATAATTTACTGAAATAAGCAGTGACGACAGAACTTTCAGTTAACTAACAGCCCTTTAAATTAGCGCACGAGTATATTTTCCAGGCACACCTTCAGAAAGATATGATTATTTAAACCTAACAGTGGTGACAAAATCCTGATTACATATCGGTTTGTTACGGTATCATGTTCAAGATATTTTAGAAACCGTTAGTGTTTTGTGACAGTTGTTGGTGTAGAACTATTGAGTTCCCACGTTGCTGAGAAATCTGTTATGTTTCATACTTTTTTTGGACTGCAAATAGATAAACAAATCAAAATTTAAGTTTGAAAAGGTGCGCAAAGGTTTTGAATTGCATCTGCTTAGTGACACCACTCACTCATCCTTTACATTCTCGTGGTCTGTACTCGGTGCAATCGTGTAATACTATTTAACTGTTTAAACATTTAGTCCACTAGTTAATATTCTTACACCTAGATTGATATGGAGCTATAGTTTGTTAATTCCAGTATTATGCTTTTGAACTACGTGCTTTATATGGCTCCGACTCAATAGATATGGCTGACAGGTTGTTTCAGAAACATACACAGCTGGTGAAGGTCGTAAAATTGTTTAGTGTCTATGTAGACAGAATTTGTCATTCCCTCTCTACTCACAACTAAAAAAGTTAGATTGAAAAAAAAATGTATTCAATTTCTATAGGGAATTTAATCTTTTCAATTGACCTTAAATTCGAGGAACAAAATTCAGATAAGAAAATGAGTCAATAAGTTGCTGCATTTTGGAAATTCGAAAGATAGAGAACGAGTTCACCTATTTCATCGTAGTAGATTTCTCTTCGCATCTCTTGTGTACTTAGCCCTTAAAATCTCCAGTTCACAAGTTCTATTTCTAAGTATTTATCTAACCACCTATATCGAAAATGTATTGGTTTTACTTTTATTTTACTTCACACTGATTTTCTAGTGACTGTCTTACTAGGTTAAATTGTTTGTAGAACGTAACACCCTCTTCACTGGGTCAATATCCACTAGTTTTTCACTTCACCCTTTTCAACTAATATCTTTTTTTAATTAAAACATTACCGACCCACTGTATAGCACCTGGTTGAAATTTAGTAGTTAAGAATTTGACGTTGAGTAGATGATACTTGTAATTATTGAATATGTCTATTTTCCAGTGATAGAAAACCAAAACCAAATTGACTTTTTTAACGTTCAGCTACCTAATACTGGCGGCTTTAAGTATCGTAAAGTTAGCAATTACACTTTGTGTTTTTATTCGTTGTGAAATATTAGCCCACGCCGACGCACACCTGATATCAATGGTCGGCCTGCGAATTTTGGGCTACCGATATCCACGCTAAAAATTCCACACGAACTAAAAAAATACGGTGTGGAATCAAGTTGTAATCAAAAAATCAAAAAATAAGTTAGTTAATGATGGTTTACAAATCTAATATTTTAACCTCTAGTTGAGGACACTTGAGCCAATTCATATTCATTCAACACTAGTACCTTGCGGTGCCTCAATGTGGTGGAGGAGGCTGCTTAATATCACAATAGCTAAAAGCTCACTGTCACCCTTCTGTGTTAGACCAACTTGATATAATATATGACTCCTTAGTTCAGCACCACTGAAACAACCAGGTCGCACAATGTGTCTCTATACGATGAAATGAGAATTTGCTGATCAGAGAGACTATACTACAGAACAGCTGTTCTTCCTGTGATTCTCAAAATACCTTGTCTTAGTATATGTTAGGTCACTATGCAATTGCCAATATATATATATATATATATAATTGGCGGTAAAATCTATAGGTTACATACTAACCCCCTGAAAAGTCAAATGTAAAAGACGTCACTAAAACTTCGTTGACTAAGCCTGTATTTTGTAAATTAGGGTGCATGCTTACCTATGCTAAATATGTAAAGTGGGATATGTCAATGTTTGTAAGAGATATTGTGAAGCTACATCAACTGAGATGGCTAGGACACATGTTTCACATGCCAACCCAGTACCTTCCTCGATGAATAATGTTAATTAATATATGATTGGGTCGGAAAAGAGTTAGAGGAGATCAAACCAAGACCTGTCAAGAGTCAGTGTAGTCTTTGTTTGTTGGTTTGAACCACGAAGGGAGGTATAGATTACCTGGATTCGGTCTTCGAGATTATAAAAACCAATGACTTGAAATTGTGGGCGATATGGCTCAAAACCTTTCTCAGTGGTGCAGATAGATTCATTCTCTTTCAAGTTCCAAGTCCCATTAAATCTTCATGTTTTTCCATGTAATTGATTATTCTACCTTCGGCACTTGTCCGCTCATTATATTTCTTTCAAATCCTCTTTTTGTGTGCTACATGGAGTGTTACAACTTGTATTCCTGTGCAAAGTTCTACGTTGAAACAATTGCAAAGTAGGCTATGTTATTAGAATGGCGGAAGGGACTCTAGGACACATAACTTCTAGTTAGTAAACTAAGCTGTTATATCTATGCCATTGAGTGCGGTTTATTTCAGTGTATTATTTCTATTTCAACAATTACTCACTTTAATATAATACCTTTGGTTGCACTAAAGTATAAATCTAGTCAATAAACATGAGTGGTATAATTTCAATTCTATCTTTTTCCCGCAATATAAATTATTATCCCAGGTTTATTCGTTGCCTTTTTGTTTTCAAGTATTTTTATCGGTTGTTAAAATAATTGCAAACTCTTGTCATACGTTATCTTTTTTTCAGTAAATTGTGCTACTGGTTCACCAGCATTCCATTATTACCGTTTGTATAGTATATTGTTAAGAGACAACTAACAAAAATCTTTCTTGGATTTCTCATTTGCATACTTTCAGGTTTGAGAGGTTTATTCAGACACGTTTCACATTCCAAGCATTCACAGCGTAACCAGGGTCATGAGAAAGTTAGTCCTTCAACAAGTTCAGTAGGTGAGACTAGCTCACCGGAAATACCATGTCTGGCAAATAATCAACTTAATCTTGGAGGGAAATTATTAAAAGGGGATCAGAAATCTACGGGTCAAAAACTAGTATGGGATTTATTTGAAACAGATGGTTCTACTCGAAGTAGCAGTCTTTCTGGTTATGAAACACAAGTGCCCGTAGAATATCATATAGAAGGTGGTGTTTCTCCTAATCTTCAAAACAAAAATAATGCAAATACTGCTATACAGTTTTCAAACTCGAGTGCATTTCCAGGCAAAATTCCAATTCCAATCTTTCATCATGTGCTGTTTCCTTATCCTGGTAGGTTTGTTTTAAAATGTTAAGGTGTAATTGTGTGAAATATTGAAATTATTGTATGCTATGCACTAGGGATTTCTGTTCATTGTACATAACGTTTCTGAACTCCGAGCACATCTTTATCAGTAGTGAAAGACGTGAAGATTGATTTGCTTTCGCCTAAATGTGTTTTTTTTGTGAATTTCCGATTGTTTGTTGTTGAATGACGGTTTAAAACAATATGGGGTATTTAAATACCAACAGAGAGGCATATCTTTCATACTTGAAACAACAATAATATCAGACCTTTTGGAAAGTTGTTATGTTGGCAGTATAAACAAATATACTACCTATTGTCTAGTTTAATTCTAACTATTACCTTATTCAAAAAATCTTTAACTATTACATACATTCTTATAGTTTAATTTTAATCTTAATTTCAGCGGAACTCCTATCATGACAGTAACCAATCCAACACCTGAAATATCACACCACAAAACCTTTCATTCTTCACCATCTCGTACACATACACACTTATCTGTGCATTACAACTATGAGGTTAGTGAAATTTGTATATGTCTCTACCGATTGTTTGTTTTTACTTTCATAACAGTATCTTATTGTCTGTAAAATTATTTGTATGATTGTTTAAAAGGCTCCTAACTGTACATTTGTTTTCACTAGTCTGTGAGTCATACCTATTGTAGTGATACTATATGTAACTGTCCTAATTTTGAAATTGAAAAAATGTGACTCACTGGCCGAAAAATTCGCATTTATAGAGGTTTGCTAATGCTAATTTCATTATTTCATTTCACTAAGAGTCAAAGTAATGGTAAGAAAAATAGTCGTTTTCGCTACAGTTAGTTGTTCTCGCCTGTTTTAAGTAGATGGGGAATTAGTCACACTTAAGATTATGAATAGAGTTTACCCTAAATTTGTGCTTACCACAGTATCTTATTTCAGTCTAGACTACATATTAACCGCGTCTAGTCAAGAGCGTTAAAAAATTTTAAAGTTAATTAAGGGACTTAGACTAAAAATTTGAGATTTTGTAAAACAGTTTTGCGTCTTTCATCAAAATATTAGTTTAACCAGAATGATGTATTAACCATCAGGTAATGAGATAAAATGAATAAGGCATATTCAATAGATCACTCGATTCATGGATAATTGATGACTTCGTCAATAGACTCATTCGTTTGTCTCAGTAGAAAGAGTTAATGCTTCAAATATTTTTATGATTGCGTGCTAGAAACATAATGTCACCTAGTTGTGAGGTCCATGTTATGTAGTTGTAGAGTTTGACAGTGAATTTTAACTCAGACTTAACGCGATAAGTATTCGTAAAACAGCTTTCATCATACAAGTGACTTAAGTTGACAAACCTGATAAACTGTATATATCTGAAAGTAATTTTCTGAGTCGATACCATACAGAAAGTAACCGATTCTCGTCAACAGCTTTATTTCTTCAGGATATGCGTCGGTGGCACAGTGGTTAGGACGCTCGCCGACTAAGCATATATGGTCCGGGGTTAGATCCCCGGCCGATGCACATTCGATATCATTAGTCGGCCTGCAAAATTGGCGCTGTGAGTATCACATGCTGAAAATTCCATACATGTACCAAAATACTGTATGGAATAAAGCTATAACAGAGTAGACTCCGAAGTGTTATTTCATCTGATATATTTCTCGCAGATATCAGGTCTTCGTTGATGTTTATAGTCTCGGCTAATTTTTGTATATTGCATTAATTCTTCAGCCTTAGAGCGGGTGATTCAACATTTCGAACACTCCACAATGTAATGCTTTGTGCTGAAGGATATTTATAATGGATTAGTGTTTGTGAAGAGATCACAACTTCTTGAGTGGAATGCAAAAGACCATATAACTCGGTAGCTTAAAATTACACTGGACACATGGCTTAGAATTAAAATCTATGACAGTTGTACTATATCCCGTCTCATTTATGATATCACGGAAAGTATTACGTGGTAACCAACTCTTCTTAGGCTTTGTCTAACGATAATGTATACCCCTAGCCATTTTCCCAGAAACTGTTTATTTCTGAGATAATCTGAAATAAACAAACAAAAATAAATATCAGCTGACTGAAGTAGACAGTTTAATGCAACTTTTTTTTCTTCAACTTATCCAATTATTTATTTCTTTTGTTTATATTTATTTTTACGTATATAATCTCATGTGATATTTACAAGTTTCTTTCCTAATTTGCCTTGTTGTTTTTTTTGATCGATTTTAACCCTCTTATTTTTATTTACATGCTTTTTTTAAAATCTGTATAAAAAGAAGTATTATGTTTCAGTTTAAACCATTGTTAACATTGTTGTTGTTATTTTTATATAAACTGGGTGTAATTGTTGACAAATAATATATATGTGAAGCTATATACTACTGATTAGTCATGGTGAGTAGTTGGGTAGCGCTCATATCAATCATTAGTGCTTTACTTGACCAAAAGATGTGATCATAATACTAGATCGCCGTTTCATTCGCTTGAGGCTTTCACTCATCTTAGAGAGCAGAAATAGTTCAGACCACTCGATTCCTGGACGGCTACTTAGGCAAACTGGTGGTAGCACTATACATCAAATTCTCATTTCTCAATCTGTACAGTTCGGGGTGGAGTTTCGCTACAGTTTCGTTTAGGAACGTATCACAATATGTGATCTACTTGATACCATGAATGGTAATCAAAAAAGCGAGCATAACTGCATAAAACTATATGCTACTTATTTGAGTCTAATGTGAGTAGTTGTATATAGTTTATGCAATTACATCTGATTTCTCGATTACCTTCCATTCATGGTATCGAGTAGATCGCATATTGTAATCTGATTAATTTCGATTTCCGAAGGAAATTTTAGTAAAATTCCACTTCAAACTGTGTGAATTACAAACCGTGAATTTGATTTAGATGATATATGTATCGTCTTAGGTAATAATAACTGCACTATAAGCAAACTAGTCTTAGCATGTTGACCGCTTCACTTATTTGGGAAGTACCATCAGCCCCAACAGATTGATCTCTGACGAAATCTCAGCACAGATACAGAAGGCTAGTTTCGCATATGCAAGCTTACGACGTCTCTGGCATATACGAAATATCCGACTATCGACCAAAGGGTGGGTGTACTGCTCATCAGTCCGCTCCGTCCGCCTTTATGGCCATCTGTGAGACCTGGCCATTGAGAGTGGAAGACATGAAAAGATTAGCTGTCTTTGATCATAGGTGCCTGCCTTCTATCTCCCGTGGGAAGTGGTATAATAAGGTGAGCAATATTGAGGTTAGGCGTCGAGATCTATGTAAGGAGGGGAAATCAATCGACGAGGTTGTGAAGTTACGTCGACTGAGATGGTTAGGTCATGTGTTACGTATCCAGGCCTAGTCATCGCCTTCCTCGATGAGCAATGTTAGCTGATACAGGGTCAGGCTGGAAAAGAGCTAGTGATGGTGGGTTCAAAACATGGCTTCATCAGTCAATCAAATCCATAACAGTTAGTTTAAGCCAGACACGTCAAGAGGTTTGTTCTTCCTGACTGTTTGGGGTCCTCGGGACAGTAAAAACCAATGGTTGAAAACAATTGGTGACATGGCTCAAAATTGTTCTCAATGGCCAGCGCAGATGCATCCACTCCTTGTGACTTATGATTTCCAATAAAACTGTATTGTTTTTCGATATTACTATTCCTTTTTTCTAATATCTCTGTTTGCTGTCACTATTTCGCATTTCTTTTTACTTTCTTCCCTTGCTTTGTGTGCTACATGGAGTGTGGCGACTTGAACTGCTGTACATCGGTGCAAAGTTCCATGTCGAAAACAGAACAGAACAGAAACTAGTCTTAGTTATGTATGTTGTCTTCTTTGAGATTGTAGTACGTATTTTATTTTGATATAGTTAGTTAGTTGCAATAATAAAACTACTGTTAGCACCAATTTTACTAATTCTCTGCTGCTACTATTACTAACTAAAAGAATGATTACGTAGTTTAAAATTACAGCGAAATGAACTCATTAATTAATTATGCATCTTCAGACAGCTACTCAGTAGACGACAGTATTCCCCTCTAGGGAATTATTTTTGATTGATTGTGAAGTGAATTAGTGTTAGCGTATGATTTGATTTGAAGTTTTATTGATAGACTTAGGTATAATGCTGTGAATTACTGTTTGTTTATTACAGTTGAGGCAAAGAAGTCATTAAAATCAGACTTGTAGAAAGTTATCTAAGCATTATTTTAATAATCATGAATTTTGCTTTAGAATAAACAAAAACTGAGTAGTAGTAGTGGTAATAATAATAATGATAATGCACATCCGAATGGTTAGTCATATGTTACAATGGTGCTGTGACTTTTCAATTTTAGTGATTAAGCTATCAAACAAACAGGTCACAAGTTCGAAGAACAAGATTTTGTCAAGCATGTGGTAGGCATCAGCTGTTGTACAGTCAGTAGTGTTCTTCTTAGCCATATGTATTTGGTTGTTGTTGTTGTTGATGATTTGAATTTCATTGATTCCTATATTCAACTGAACCATGCTGATACATAGAAGACAACAAATACGCAACAGTTCACTTTGTCTTTCTTTCTGGCTATGGGATATTGACTTTGAACGGGGAGGATAAGGAGCTGGCAGCTGGCATTAATCATGGGTGTCTGACTTCTGTCTCTCGTATTGGATAGTATACTATAATCAGTAGTACTAAGATTTGGCATAAAGTGTCAATTAAGGAGAGAAAGTCTATTCATGAGGTTGTGAAATGTCATAGATTGAAATGGCTAAGACAAGCATTACACATGCTAAACCATTGCAGTGTGTCTTTGAGAGCCAACATAGGATTAGGTTGGAAAAGAGTTAAATGGAGTCAAATCAAAACATGGTTTTTAACTGTTGGTTTGCACCACATAGAAGGATTTAAATCACTTAGCTATGGATTTATTCTTGGATTAATTGGATTAGTTCTTTCTTCTGACCTATCCTGGTCTTGCCATGTCTTAGCGATTTCTAAAAGAATATTTCGTCTGACTTTTTACACTAAGAAGTTAAGGCACTCAAGCATAACCCAAACCCTCCTCTTACAGTTTGTCAACTCGTGTATTTTACCTATTCTTCTTTACTGTTCACCCTTATTCTTTCCTGAACTGCTTGAAAAATACTATGTCATATTTTGTAGAACTCTGAAGACTGTCAGTAGGACGAGTGGTATCCCATTAGGCCATATCGTTGACATCGCCACTGATAGGCACTTGATGTTATGCAACAAATTTGCATCCACTTTACCCGCAGCTCCAACCTTTTGTTCTCTAAGGGAGAACAAGAAGTCTTTTCACAAGACTTTATGCACGTACGTCTAAGTGTAGAAATTCCACTATACCATATTTGGCACGTACTTTATGTGATGAAAATAGTGTCAGGCATGAACTAACTAACCTTCTTTGCACTACTAAATAAACCATTTCCTCCACCCTTACACCATTAAATTTTATTATTATTGTATCTCTTATATTTGCAATCCTCTCAATTTTTTG